CAGCTCCAACAAAGAATGCTACAAGGGTGTGAAATGAATAGCTGGACACCTAGCCAGTGTAAGACACAAATATCATGTCACACTTGCACTATAAGGTCTGCCCTGGTGGGGTGACCATTTGCTTTCCAAATACAAATTAGAGTGATAATATTAATTTTTAAGCTTTTGATATACTTAGGACTTAACTAAGGAAATGCCTTTCCCATTATGAATCTGCCTGTATGTTAAAATAGAATACCAGATACTACTGCAAGGATATGGATGACCACTAGAGGGCAGCCAAGTGATTGAGCCTAGAGACTACAGTAAATCTTTACTGTCCTCTTGTGGCCATTTGATCTTTTAGAACCCAGAACTGATAGCTCCAATTACGGTTCCAGCAGAGAGGCTCTTCTGAAGTTGCTTGAGTGATCAGAGGCTATCCCATCTGTGCCCAAAGGATTGCATGTAGCTTCCAATCTGTGTTTAAAACAACAGTCAAGGCACTGATTTCATCATGACTTTCATTGTTAACACTGACTTTAATTTATTTTAATGATTTTGTGTGCTGCATTTTGAACCTACCTTTGAACACATAGCTAAATAGAAAGGAGAGATATAAAGTACATAAAATGGAAAGAAAGGCTTAGTTGAAATGACAATTTCCGTTTCACCTATTGCCCTGTTCTCTTTAAAAACATAACAGGATTCCTGCACAGGTGAGACCACAGTGGGATTGGCTGCTTTGTGGGTTGCTGGCAAGTGCTTGTCCAAGTAGTATGAAACCGATTTTCTGCTTCACACAGAACCCTAAACTATAATGTGGTTAAGGGAGGTACAGCCATGCAAACTACTATTATTTTACTATTAGCATGTTGTAGCAAATACAGTTACTCAATTTTTAATTGGATTAAGCACTATGGGTAAACAAAGGCAGTGTACCTCCCCCCCCTTTTTTTTTGCAGTTTAATGTGTAGTTATTTTTATGACTTTGGGGCTAGTTTGACACAAGAAGTCACAACCACAAACTGTAACATAGGCAAATTTAGACTATTGTGAGAATGCAGCTACCAGAACTAACTTGGTCCATCCAGCATGTACTTAAACCAAACAATGGGCTGTGAAAATCAAGTTGCTTAGCATATTGGGTGAAGACATTTGTAAGCAATTGGTCTCTTTCCTAGCGAAGTGATCGATCAAGGAGGAAATAGCAACACTAAAATGCTTAACCTAATAAGAGAAACATAGTCAGATCCTGTTCACCTTTATTTCGAAGTCAGATTTAGCAGATTTGAGGACTTTGTCTACTTGATTTTTTTACCGATTGAGAAATTTGCGAATAGGAAACAACTGGGTTTTCCCCCCAACTTTTTTCAACTTTTTTTTCCAAACACATCACTTGTCTTCTTCAGGGAGGACAATACTTTATCCTGCTGTCATTCCTCCGCTTTCTCATTTTATCGATTCTTTGCCATTTAAAAAAAAAAAGATTGAGATGGGCAGTTGACCAATGGAACACATCTTTGCCTGGACCTCCTATACAAATCTGTGAAAGAGACAAAGTGACTGCCTGGAAGTACCTCTTGTGAGGTATGTTATATGAAAAACCAGTAACATTTTCAAGATCACTCAGTGTCTGTAAGTTTTTGTTTTAGTGTGCAATGACCTTTAAAATGACCTTCCCTCCTTGCTTGGTTGCAAGCTCTTTATCCATTCTTGAACTGACTGAAAAATATGACAGCATGAAATTTACCATCCCCACTGCCAATACTGCCTCTATGGTACCTGTTCCCAGGCACTACCAGCCACTTGCTTCCTCTCTGTGGGGAGGGAGAACACAGAACATAAAATAACAGAGTTGGAAGGGACCTTGGAGGTCTTCTAGTACAACCTTCCTACTCAAGCAGAAGACCCAAATGGCCGTCCAGTCTTCTTAAAAACCTCCAGTGATGGAGCACCCACAACTTCTGAAGGCAAGTCATTCCACTGGTTAAATATTCTCAATGTTAGGAAATATCTCCTTAGTTCCAGGTTATTTCTCTCTTTGATTAGTTTCCATTCTTTGTTTCTTGTCTTGCCTTCTGGTGGTTTTGAAAAAAGGCTGACCCCCTCTTCTCTGTGGCAGCCCCTCAAATATTAGAACACTGCTATCTTGTCACCCCTACTCCTTCTTTTCACTAGACTAGACATACCCAATTTCTGCAATGTTTTAGCCTCTAGCTCCAAAAAAGAAGTTTGAATGAAAAGATGTCACATTCTATAATATCACTAAGAATCCATACCTAACATCAGTTTTCAGGCGAGACCCCAAGGAGACCTAACCTTAACCCCAACCATAACCTTTGTTTAATTTTCATTCTCAATGAGATTTTCCCATGTACGTTGCTGTGTTTCCAAAAGAAGTATGAATGAAAACCTGTCACATTCTCTTTCCTTATAATTCCACTAAGCATCTATCCCTAACATCAGTTTTCGGCTCAGACCCCAAGGAGACCTAACCCTAACTCTAACCCCAATCCCAACCCTAAATGTAGGTTAATTTTAATTTGAAAGGGATTTTCCCTTGTAATATACAGTCTTCCACAAACAAGATCCGATCATAAAGATATCACATTCTCTTTCTTTATAATACCATTATAATACCATTTTCATTGTGAATGGGTTTTTCCCATGTAATTTACTGTGCTCCAAAAAGAAGTCCAAACGAAAAGCCGTCACATTGTCTTTCCATATAATACCATTAAGAATCCATGCCTAAAATCAGTTTTCAGGCAAGACCCCAAGGAGACCTAACTCTAATCTTAATCCTACTTTAATTTTCATTGTGAGTAGGATTTTTCCATATAATGTACTTTGTTCTAAAATGAAGTCAGAACGAAAAGCTGTCACATTTTCTTTATAAGAGCCGCAGTGGCACAGTGGTTAGAGTGCAGTACTGCAAGCTACTTCTGCTGGTCACTGGCTGTCAGCAGTTTGGCAGATCAAATCTCACCAGGCTCAAGGTTGACTTGGTCTTCCATTCTTCCGAGGTGGGTAAAATGACGAGTCAGATTGTTGCGGGCAATATGCTGACTCTGTAAACTGCTTAGAGAGGACTGTAAAGCACTGTAAAGTGGCATATAAGTCTAAATGCTATTGCTATACCTATCATCAGTTTTCATGCCAGACTCCAATGATACCTAACCCTAGCTCCAACCCTAATTCTATTTTTATTGTCATTATGAATGGGATTTTCCCATGTAATTTATTGTGCTTAAAAAAGAAATCCAAACGAAAAGCTGTCATATTCTCTTTTTTTATAATACCACTAAGAATCTATTCCTAACATCAGTTTTCAGGCCAGACCTCAAGGAGACCTAACCCTAACCTTAACCCAACCCTAAGGCTAACCCTAATCCTACTTTAATTTTCATTGTGGATCGGATTTTCCCATGTAATGTACTGTGCTCCAAAAAGAAGTTTGAAAGAAAAGCTATCATGTTCTCTTTCCTTATAATACCAATAAGAATCTATCCCTAACATCAATTTTCAGGTAAGACCCGAAGGAGACTTAATTTAACCCAAACCCTAGTTTATTTTTCATTCTGAATGAGATTTTTCTATGTAATATACTATGCTGCAAAAAGAAGTCTGAACAAAAAGCTATCACATTTTCTTTCCTTATAATACCACTAAGAATCTATCCCTAACATCAGTTTTTGGCCAGACCCCAAGGAGATATAACCCTAACTCCAACCCTACCCCTATTTTTATTGTCATTGTGAATGAAATTTTCCCATGTAATTTACTGTGCTTCAAAAAGAAATCCCAATGAAAAGCTGTCACATTTTCTTTTATTATAATACCACTTAAAATATATCCCTAACATCAGTTTTCAGGCCAGACCCCAAGGACACCTAACCCTAATCCCATCCCTAATCCTACTTTAATTTTCATTGTGAATGGGATTTTCCCATGTAATGTACTGTAATGCTCCAAAAATAAATCAGAACCAAATGCTGTCACATTCTCTCTCCTTATAATACCATTAAGAATCTATTGCTAACATCAGCTTTCATCCAAGACCCTAAGGACCCTAGGTCACCACAATCATAACTCTAGTTTATTTTTCATTCTGAATGAGATTTTCCAATGTATTTTGCTGTGCTTCCAAAACTAAGTCCAAACAAAAAGCTGTCACATTCTCTTTCCTTATAAAATCATTAAGCATCTTTCCCTAATATCAGCTTTTGGCCAAGATCCCAAGGAGACCTAACTATAACCCCGCCTTTTTAAGGCAACCAAGCCTAACAGATTTTATACACCTTGAGGCTGCCTTTGGATGGTGTTGGAATAAGGGGAGAAAAAACTTTAGCTCAATGGATGACCCAAGCCTGTCTCACTCAACAGGCTCAGGCTAAGATGAAGGCAATGTCTTGAGGACACAATAGAAAAGATATTTTGTCACAGCATCTTCGAGGAGAGGAGAAGGCCCTCAAGCATTTTGTATCTTCTACCTTTGTTTTCATTCCATGAAAAAAATAGCAGTATAATGTTATTTCAATGAGTAGTGTTAGAACCTCAGTACTAACTTTGCAACACCGAGATATCTATTATAGTTGTATACTATATTCAGTTGTATACCCCACTGAATTAGAAAGCCCTAAGGAAGCCCATATTATATCCCATTTATTCTTGGCTTACAGCAGTAACTTCGTCATAGCAATTCAATGACTCTTTTGGTTGAGTGAATTACTTCTCAATCAGGACATTTTTCTCTTCCCAAAGACTAGCCAGGGCAGATGCCTTGTGCTGCTAAGAAGATTCTGGGGAGACAGTGCTCCCATTCTGGTTGGGCAAGAAGAGAAATATATCATTATGAGCACGAAGTATTTGGGGTAAAATATGAGAAACCAGTAAAGATGGCAAAGACTGTCTCTTCTTCCCTGTTGGCTTCTTCTTTCAGGTTATCAAAAGAGCAATCCCTGTTGGATGACTGCCAGCAATAGGCCATCTTGGGCTGTGAAGCAATCAAGCTGAAGTTGTCTTAACAGACCATTTATTATGTTCAGGGGAAAGGTGAATGTGAACAAATCAATAACACAGACCAGTGTCTAAAAGTTAAACGTGAATCCCACACAAATGGCAGCAGTACTAATTACCCCCCCCCCACACACACACACAACACTCCTGATCTATTATTCTCAGCTGGTGAACTGTTGTGCAAATCAGAAGCTTGTGTTTTGCTGCTGGCTATGCAACTTGAAACAGACTGGCTTTTCCAGCTTCCTCTGGTCGGCTGAGAAGAAAGCGGTGGCTGAGACGTGGCAGTAGTGCTGCTGTTACTAGAGGGTTTTTTTTTCTTGCTATAGCGAGGAAGAAGGCAGTAGCAGACTCCAGACTGAAGTGATCTCAGGTTACAGAAGAAACATGGAAAACAGTATTTGGAAGGTTCAGGTTGGCTATATTAAGGCTTTCAAAAAGAAAAAAAGAAAAAAAAAAGAATGCACTCTGGTACCCAAGTGCCAAAGGCAAAAACACCCAATGAGACGTGTAATGCTTTATGGAAAGTTCTAAGTAGGATGATTTGGGAAAGGATTGTTAGGTAAAGTCCAAGTCCTCTCTCTCCCGTTTATTTCTTCCCTCAGGTAAGAGCCATGAATGAAGCAGAATCAGTAATAGGTGCCAGAATGAACAGGGAGAACAAGAACCTCTGCTGAAGGACAACAAGAGCCATCTTCTCCTGTCCTTCCACTTTCTCATGCAACTGTCTTGGGACAGTAATTCTTGGACACTTATCCTTATCTCATCTCCACCCTAGATCAACAGTGCGCTTATATTTTGCCAGGCAATTACAATTGCCCTGTTGGAAGTAATAATCACCATTCACTCTTCACCCACAACCTGAATTAAACAGCTTTAGTTCCATCCATCTTTTAAGCTGAGTTCCCAATCTACTCAAGAAGCTTTCTCTTCTTGAGAGTCCCTTATTTCCCAGCCTTCCATTTAAGCTGAGGCAGCAACTTGTCTGTCCTCTCACTCTTCCCGTGAATTCCAAACGGATGGCAGATTCAGGATCAAAGTGAGCAGGTAAGCCAATGATGTATCCGGCTATCTTGCAGTTTCCAGGGACTTCTGACAAAAAAAGAAGGGAAATGCAGGAGGTGGTGTGATGGGGAAAAGAGAAGCTTATGGCCAGGAACTTCCACTCCATGTCTTCTGGGACTATTTCCCTTCCTGTTGCTGGGTAGAGCAGTGATTTGGAGAGGAAACACTGGCATGTGAGTACAAAATAGCAAAGGAATGGGTTGCGATATGAGGTGCCAGTCCCAACTTGAACATGGAGAGCTGATCAGACGAATGGTCTTTAGGAAGCACCTTTTAATTGCTTTCACTCTTCCCAAATGGGAAAGAAAAGCATTGGGTTCTTGGAACTTCAGCAATGGCCACCAACAGGATGCCAGTGAAGGAGAGCTAGTTATTGACCAGAGAGAACAGCAGGCAGACAACCGCTCCATCAGTCAGAGGGGGTCACCATTCAGGTTGTTCCTGCTTTTCTTGCGTTTTGTCCTGGCTGAAGGGGAGGAGAAGTCCAGAGATTCCAGGCGGAAGGGGCGTGGCTGGGGCATCTCCACTGTTTGGGCAGAAGGAATAGATATCAGGCTGGAAGTCAGCATGGAAGTACTATTGTTCAGTAAAGGAGGTGAGTTGTGGGAAACTGCAGAAGGGGAAAACCAAAAAATAAAAAGAAGAATTTAATTTCAGGAATACCAACAACAAAACCTCACTGTCCATCCTCCCCAGGAGAAATTTATCCAAATGTCTTGCAACAATGTTCTATGTTCAGCTTGTGTGTGCAAAGACTTTTTAAAATTTCTGTACAATTATGTAATATATACAGGTAGTCCTCAGTTAACAATAGTAAATGGGACTGGAATTTCTGTCACTAAGCAACATGGTCATAAAGTGCAATGTCACATGACCACATCACTTAGCAACAGACATCCCAGGAGTCCCTGTTACTGTCATTACCTGAATCCCACCAGTCGTTAAGTGACAACCCACCCAATCCAAGCCATTCCTAGGCTGGTCCCTCCCAGCTCTGAGCTTCAGTAAGGCAAGAAGCTGCCTCCTCTTGAATTCTTTCCTCCCCCCACCTATTCCCCTCCCCATTTTCCACTTTGGCCACCCTGCATAGCCAGCTGCCACCACTTCCAGGTCTCTACTTCAGTCCCTGTGGTGCTGCTGCTGGGAAGCCACATGCCATGGCCAGGCACCTCAGTGCCACAGCACGAAGTTCCAGGTAGGCCCGCTGTCCTGCATTCTGCAGATCCTGTTGCTTCCAGCTGACCCCTGGCCATTCTCCTCCTGATGCTGACAAAGCATAGACGGCATGGCCCATTGCGAGACAGAAGCTGGCTGCCCCAGGACTTCTTCCTGAGGCTGCACTTGCCATTCTCCAAACTGTGAGCCTTGTTTTGGTGATGTTTCAGGGGGGCAGGGGGGGGGCTCAAAAGTTTTTCAAATTGAACATGGCAGGCCTTGAGGAGAACAGGGAGGCAGGGAGGGCTGGTTCTTTGTGCTGTGGTGCTGGGATGGCAGGCCATGGCGTAGGGTTTGAGGTAGCATTTGGTGGCGACAGTGCTAGGGCTAAAGTAGAGTGATGGCAGCCAGCTGAGACTGCTCTGCCTCTGTTACAGTCCAAGTGGCATCCCTAATGATTTCTTCCCCCAGGGCAGGAATGTTAAGGAAAAAAAAAAAGAATTTCTCTCTTTAGATGCCTCTGAATTCTGATAAGTGAAATTGTAATACTGTTCTGCAAAATTATTCAATACATGTGAGATGCTATTAAGGAGGTAGTTTCCAAGAGAAAAAAAATAATAAAGAGCACATGAAGGGATTTACCTAGACTCTTCATGGGGTCAGCATTGAGAATCTGGCTGGCTCGTTTTGAGCGGAAGTAATTACTGGCAATATTTTCACTATCACTCTTACTCAGCATCATCTTGTAGCGGTCTTCTTCTGGCTGGGGACAAAGACAAGGGACTAGAGCACCACTTTATCCTTCTTCAGTTCAAGGAGAATCACAGTTCTTCTAATTTTTAATAACCAAGACTCAGATTCCAGCTGACCTGAGACCTCTGACTTATCTTTTAGAATAGAATAGAATAGAATAGAACAGAACAGAACAGAACAGAACAGAACAGAACAGAACAGAACAGAATAGAATAGAATAGAATAGAATAGAATAGAATTCTTTATTGGCCAATGTGATTGGACACACAAGGAATTTGTCTTTGGTGCATATGCTCTCAGTGTACATAAAGAAATCTTTATTTTATCTTTTCAAGCTCTAATTTATTGTTATACTGCCTCCAAATGAGATAGTAATTACAGTTAGTGGAGGAACTAGAAACTTTTGATTGATTATATGGTAATCTGCCCTGAAATATTATTATTATCTTTATTATATATATATTATGATAATGTATTTACTTAGATTTATTAGAACAGCAATTCAAAATGTTCTAGCTACATTTGATATCCTGCCTGCTACAGCCCAGCAAGACAAATGTGAAAACAGAAGGAATAGTCTTCATCTAGATCTGATTCACATGTTTTGCTGGGTTGAGGTACTTTGTCCCCTGCTCATATCCTACTTCATCCCTTTGTGGCTTTCTGAGATTGCAAATGTTCAGCCTTGAAAAGAGTTAGCCATGGAACCAGCAAGCAGAGTGTAAGGGACATCCTAAGCTATTGGGACATTATCTTAGAGGCTATAAGATTTAGTAAGGGAAGGCAACCCAACCCAACCAGATCAACCCAAAGCTATTGCTATTGCCATAGTAGTGTCTGGTGGCCAGAAGGATGCAGCAGTATCTGGCTCTGATAAATATAAGAACGATAGTAGCAATCAATCTCAGCTCTCAGTTTCCCCCCTAAGATCTTCTTCCAGTGATCAAGACAAGACAAAGGCTGGGAATACTGGTTCCACCCTTTTGTTCTTTATAAAAGGGAAGAGTTCTCTCTTGCATCAAATCATCCCAAGTTTATTTTTCATTTTATCAAGATTCTGTGCTCTGATGAAGAGAAGTTGAGAAAAAAAAAGCTGCCCACCAACAAGAATTCACTTGTGGGAAGCCTCTCCCCTCCTAGAACAATGAAATATTTTGGGAATTTAAAAGATGCAGAATATTATATTTCCCATAAGAGAAATGGAGAAACATGTTCTTAAAAACAGAACGCAGCCCTAGTCTTTCTTAATAGCTTCCAGCAGAGGCCTGAAGTGTTTAGAGATGGGTATTTTGTGCCCATTAAGAAATCCAGGCCAATTTATTTATAAACAAAACATCTTCAGCTTTAGGTGATGAGATTAAGGACAGGACAGGACTTTAATCCCATTCATTGAGAAAAGTGGAAACAATACCAGTTCTATTAAGAAAAGCAGGCTAGATAACAGGCAATAGATAATAGGATAAAATCAATTACACATGCCTGACAGGATTAGGACCAAGGAAGGTGATAATTAAGACCCATCAGGAGCCTTTGCGAAACAAGTAAAACCAGTCAAATAATATAAACATACAAAACAAACTTCAAAATTACAAAATACTGTAAACTGTATAAAAATCCTTGCACTCATCAAGTTAATTTGTCAGCTGTCAACAGCATGCTGTTGCTGGTTCCGCTCACCAATAAGTGGACCTTTTTTCCTAAGCAGCTAACCTCCATTTTATTTCCAGCATCTCTCTCCCGGCTTGGAGCAGAACCAGATGGATTTTTCTTTCAACAATGGATTATGTGGATATGCAATACATGTTAGGGACCGAAGTGTTGCATATATGTATAGGAGCATTTCTGAGAGTGTAACTGGACCTGAGCAAGGGTTAGCACTAATTATAACAGAAAGGAGATTTATTTTAGGAATTGCAGGTAGTTCTTGATTTACAACTACAATTGAGCTCCAAATTTCCATTGCTAATTTTGATGGTGTGGCTATAGGGATGCTGCAATGGTTGTAAGTGTAAAAATAGTCATAAATCACTTTTTTTCAATGCCATTGTAATTTAGAGCAGTCATTAAACAAATGGTTGTAAATCAAGGACTATCTATATAGAGATTGATAAAACCTAGTACCTGCCTAACCACATCCTATCAGGAGAGGAGTCAGAAAACATCTGTGCTATGAGTGCGTGCTTGCACATATGTGCACCTGGGAGGTAGAATAAAAGGAAATGACTTCTATTCTAAATTAGCAATCTCAAACTAAGAGCAGGCAGGGGGACAAAGAGAGGACAGAGAATCCTTAACTCTCCATCTACACGCTAGTGTCCCCTTGTGGTCAATAGGTCATGAAGTACCAAAGAGACAATGCCACTGAACTTGGACTGCCAAGAAACATATACTGTACAACTTATTCTCATTAGGCGCTGAGCACCCTTTTTCAACTTACCACTGTCACCGTCTCCCCATTCTCTGCCGATGAATTCTTCTTGCCCGCCTTAGTCAGTGACAGCGATGAAACTGCTGTTAAAAAGAAAACCCAGCAACAGTGGCTCTCAACTTCTTTAAAAGTGCCATATCAGTACCCCAGGCCTATATTGTGCCATGGAGAAGGAACAAGGACATCCAGTGGACACAACATTCCCCCCACCCGTTCCAGTTTACCCTTTGAATGGTTTTAGAGTATTTTTTATCATTACATAAACTTTAAAATGCTGCAAAGCAAAGCACCATTTTCTGTTTCTAAGAACAGATCTGTGTTCCCTAAGGACAATCTGTGGTTTTGGAAATGGGCCTTCCTGAGCAAAAGTAGAAACAGAAGGTGTAGACATCATGATATGGGCCCTAGAGGGCTAGAGAAGAGGGCACACTCTTTAGTTTGCCTTCTGGTAAATGGCAATGCAGGCAATGGCAGTGATCTTCTGAATTTTCTGAAAGCTATTAAAGGCTATTCTAGGCTTTGGGGTGGAGTGACGGTTCAGCCCCTGTTGGATTGGGAGGGGTGCTTCCCCCTCGATCTCTTTTTGACTTTTCTGCTTTTTCTTACTTTTAATTCCAGGTCACCCAGTTTTGGCAGTCAGGCAGCCTTTAAACTAGATGGGTAGATGGGTGGATAGATTAAAAAATAGGGAATGCCACTTGCTGGATTATAAAAACAGGACTTTAACTATGCTTACACATAAGCATATGGCAAATAAAATAAAAAATGCTAAACTACACTAAAGGCTGTCCTAATTCTAATCACTCTTGTTGACAGATTTCCAGTTTTGTTTCATTTCAGTTCCTAGTCTGTTTTTAAATTGTTGTTGTTGTTGTTGTTGTTGTTATAAATCCTACCTGACTAAACTGACTTAAATCACAGTTTACAATCTTCAGTGGTTACATTCATCCAGTAAACCAGGCCAAAGCCAGGCAGTTCATATTTGGGATTAGCATACAGGTAGTCCTAGATTTATGACTACAATTGGACCCCAAAATTTCTGTTGTTAAGTGAGGCATTTCTTAAGTGTGCTTTGCCCCATTTTACGACCTTTCTTGCCACATTTGTTAAGTAAATCACTGCAGTTGTTAAGTTAGGAACACAATTGTTAAGTGAACCTGACTTCCCCATTGACTTTGCTTATCAGAAGGTTGCAAAAGGTGGTCATGTGACCCTGGGACACCTCAACCATCATAAATATGAGTCAGTTGCCAAGCATCTGAATTTTGATCATTTGACCATGGAGATGCTAAAATGGTCATAAGTTGGAAAAATAGTCATGAGTCACTTTCTTCACTGTCGTTGTAACTTCGAATGGTCACTAAATCAACTGTTGTAAATCGAGGATTACCTGTACTACATGAATTAGGCCAGGACGTTGGTGGAATGCATTTGCCTAGTCTAGCGAGTTCTTTCTTGCCTGCATTGAGAGCCTGGAGCAATTCTATCCAGATGACACTGTAGTGCCTGGAGCTTCTCTTACCTGCAGGGAGGCTGGTCTTCTGAGTAACAGGCTCTGGGATTTTCCAGCAGCTTAATTCCTCATCCCAGGTGGACTCCCGCTTGATTTTATCAAAATTGCTATAACTGCAGTCCCGTCGTATGAGAGGCTGCACTTGGTCCAGGAGCTGCTGGAAGAGCAGGAGTTCTCGCTCCTGGCGGCGGATGGTAGCCAGATAATCAATCCTTTCCAGCTCAAACTCTGATTGTAGATCTTTGATTTCAGTCTCAGCTGCCCGCAGCTGGAAAGGAGAGAATCGTTGGGTAAAAGTATAGAAATTATTTTATAATCAATTTAATATATGTTCCACTCTGGGTAAGGCAATGGACATGCAGCATCATGTAAAAAGCCAAAAGATAAACACCTGAATGTAATACTAACAGCATCTTTATATCAATTAGGTATCTAGATCAAAATGGCTGGCTTTTCTTCGTAACAGAACTGCAAGGTTTAAGAAAATATAGTACAGGTGTGCTGTCCCTATCAAAAGCTATCAGAAGATCGGTTTTACATACAGAAACATCGCTGGATGGTTTTGTACTTGACAACTAGGCATCAGGAACATATGGACATGAAAAACATAATGCTTCTTAAACAAACAAACAAACAAAGCCTAAATAGAGAAGAATGACAGTGCAACTGGTATAGCCCAACACATGGATCAGGACCAATGAAGTCAGCTTCTGGGTCATGACCTATGTGTTGAAAACCAGTGCTTAAAAAAGAAATTTTTTTAAAAACTTGTGCACTTCCAGCCATTTCATACTGGAAATGGACTGGAAATAAATAAAAGTATAGATCACCTTTTCCTTTATCTTTTCCAGCAATCGACTTTTGGCTCGCACTTCCTCCTGGATAGAGTCATAGACATTGAGTAGGACCCAATCACTGCTGTCCTCATCTGATTTCTGCAGAGCTTCCAGCAACTGCTGCTTCCGTTCATCTGCAATTTTCTTTCGACGTGTATGCTTTTCCTTCAGATCTTTGTTCTTGGCCTGTTCTCCTCCAACCACCTGTTGCTCTAGCATCTGCAGTCTAAGAGGCCAGAGAGTCATCTCAACTTTAGGCACGTCTTTTAAAACCATTTCTAAACTCAGGGATCCTTCCACCATGAAGGGCCTGTTGAGAACCCCTGAAGTCTGCGGCCTCTGTGCTATGCGATGGAAAAACCCACTAGGATTGGACCACCCGCTGCAGAAAACAGTTGAAGATGGCAGGCAAGCTATTTTGTCATTTCAGTGACTTTTGTTACTGATCTTGAGACCGCAAAATTTAGTTTAGTTTACTTTATTGTCATTGCACATGACAAATCTTAAATCTTAAATCTTAAATCTTCATTATAACTATAAAAATAAAAACACAAACATACATCCTTTACATTCTATATAATTGAAATTGAAAACCCGATATTGCAATATACCGAAGAATTCAATATGGTTATTACCCTAGGATAGAAGCTGTTTTTCAGCCTATTTGTCCTTTTTATTATCCTGTACCATCTTCCAGATGGTAATAGTTCCAAAAAAGGGTGCCCAGGATGAGATGGATCTTTAAGAATGTTTTGAACTTTCTTAAGGCAGCGGGAGCTATAAAGCTCTTCCAAAGAGGGGAGAGGGCAAACAATGATCCTCTGGGCAATGACATTGACCTTCTGGAGTGCTGTCCTATCTGCCACTGTGCAATTGGCAAACCATACACAGATGCAGTAAGTTAAAATACTCTCTATGGTGCAGCGATAGAAGGTCACCAGCAGTTTTTCATTCAGTTGTTGTTTCCTGAGAAGTCTCAGGTAGTATAATCTCTACTGGCCCTTTTGACCAGTGCTGCAATGTGAGTGCCCCAGGTCAGGTCCTCTTTTATGATAACACCCAGAAACTTAAAACTGGCCACTTGCTCCACTTGGTCTCCATTGATAAGCAGGGGCTGGATGTCTGATCTATTCCTTCTATAGTCCACTATAAGCTCATTGGTCTTATTTGTGTTAGGAACCAAGTTATTGTCTCCACACCATGAAAGCAACCATTTCATCTCATCTCAATAGGCAGGCTCATCCCCTCCCAGAGATCAGTCCCACCACTGTTGTATCATCTGCAAATTTAGTAATAGTATTATTAGCGTGAGTGGAAATGCAGTCATGCACACAAAGAGTATAGAGTAAGGGACTCAACACGCAACCCTGTGGTGTATCAGTGTTAAGAATAAGGGCTGAAGAGATATGATTACCTGATCTGACCCTCTGAGAGCAGTCAGACAGGAAATCCATAATCCAAAAGCAGATTAGTTTAGTTTAGTTTAGTTTAGTTTAGTTTAGCTTAGTTTAGTTTAGTTTAGTTTAGCTTAGCTTAGCTTAGCTTAGCTTAGCTTAGCTTAGCTTAGCTTAGCTTAGCTTAGCTTAGTTTAGCTTAGTTTAGCTTAGCTTAGCTTAGTTTAGTTTATTATATTTATATGCCGCCCTTCTCCCGAGGGACTCAGGGCGGTGAACAACCATGGTAAAAACAATATACAACAAAAATTAAAAGCTTATTAAAATAATTCAATCATTCAGCCAAATTTAAAATATCCAACTAAAATCATTTTAAAACCCCGATCAAAATCCAATTTAAAAAACCTTTATCCTGTCAGACGAGCTTGCTGGAATAATAGGGTCTTCAGAGCCCGACGGAAGGCACAGAGGTCAGGGATCCTTCATATGTCCGGGGGCAGTTCATTCCATAGGGCCAGGGCCCCCACAGAGAAGGCTCTCCCCCTGGGGGTCACCAGCCTACACTGTTTGGCTGACGGCACCCTGAGGAGGCCCTCTCTGTGGGAGCGTATTGGTCGGTGGGAGGCAATCAGGGGCAGAATGCGGTCCTGTAGGTAACCAGGTCCTAAGCCATGGAGCGCTTTAAAGGTGGTAACCAACACCTTGAAGCGCACCCGGAAGACCACCGGGAGCCAGTGTAGCTTGCGCAAGATGGGTGTTACATGGGAGCGACGAGTCGCCCCCATTATTACTCGCACGGCTCCATTCTGGACCAGCTGGAGCCTCCGGGTGCTCCTCAAGGGGAGCCCCATATAGAGAGCATTACAATAGTCCAGCCGGGAAGTGACGAGGGCGTGAGTGACTGTGCGCAGGGCGTCCCGATCCAGAAAGGGACGCAACTGGGAGATCAGGCGAACCTGATAAAAAGCCCCCCTGGCCACGGCCGTCATATGATCCTCCAAGGACAGCCATGAATCCAGGAGAACACCCAAGTTGCGAGCCCTCTCTGAGGGGGGTAAGATCTCATCCCCAATAGCCAGTGATGGTGTCAGCTGGCTATATCGGACCGTCGAGAGCCACAGCCACTCAGTCTTGGAGGGGTTGAGTCTGAGCCTGTTCCTCCCCATCCAGATCCGCACAGCCTCCAGGCAGCGGGACATCACGTCAAGGGCATCATTGGGGTGGCCTGGGGTTGAAATGTACAACTGCATATCATCAGCATACAGTTGACATTTCACCCCAAAGCCACGGATGATCTCACCCAGCGGCTTCACATAAATGTTGAACAGAAGGGGCGAGAGGACCAACCCTTGCGGCACCCCACAAGTGAGGAACCTCGAGGTCGACCTCTGCCCCCCCATCAACACAAACTGTGTACGGTCAGAGAGGAAGGAGGAGAACCACCGTAGCATGGTGCCCCCCCACTCCCACCCCCTCTAGCCAACACAGCATGATACCATGATCGATGGTATCAAAAGCCGCTGAGAGATCTAGGAGGACTAGGACAGAGGAGCAACCCCTGTCCCGGGCCCTCCAGAGATCATCAACCAATGCGATCAATGCCATTTCCATGCTGTAACCCGCCCTGAAGCCCGACGGGCACGGATTGGTGCCAGTCGGGCTTGAATAGATTGAATAAGAAAGCCCAAGATCCATAAGTTTAGACATTAGTCTATGTGGAATTATTATTAAATGCAGAGCTAAAATCTACAAAAAGCATCCTCACATAGCCCCTCCCCCCGCTGTTCCAAATGAGTCAGAGCAGTGTGAAGAGTGATGGCTATAGCGTCCTCTGTAGATCTATTTCTTCTGTATGCAAACTGGTATTTATCAAATGTATGCGGAAGACCAGAAATGATGTGCCAGCCCACTAATTTCTGAAAGCACTTCATGATGATAGGAGTGAGTGTCACTGGTCTTTAATCGTTGAGGTTATTGATAAGGAACTTCTTTGGCAGTGGAACAATGGTGGAAGCCTTCAAACAAGATGGAATAGTGGACTGGGATAAAGACCATAAAATATTTCAGCAACTCCAAATGGATAGCTTGGAAGTGTAAGAGCATTTCACCAAGGCAGAGTTAGGTGCTACCCATTCATCTTCAAGTTGGCAGAAAATTATACTGACATGTAATTGACTGTATCTGTTGCCATCCTTTATCCTGCTTCTACTGCTTGTTCAAATCACTACAGTCACCTAAAAGTATAATGGGTTTACACATTGTGGGGCTGCCCTTGGATGGTGGCAAAATAAGGGGGAACTCTGCTTTAGCATTAGTGCAGCTAAGAATGATTTCAGTCTGCCTCACTCATAGACTGAGAAAGAGACAAACATAATAACATCATGGGGATGCTACAGAAAATAGATTCTGTCAGGGTATGTTTATGCTGTGGTTAGGTGCAAATGAGGAAAGGTGCTAAGGATGGGCATCGGTTTTTAATCCCAGATCTATAATCCTTCAAAGGTCAAACAGTACTCTAAGGCAAGAGCTAAAATAAGCAGTAGAAAAGCCAGAGCCCCAAATGGGAGCCCCTGCTTCTTTTCTCCCTCTTTTTTTTCTACCATCCCATTTCTTATTTTTTTCTTCTCATCCTCCTCTTCTCTCTCTACCATTAGAGAAGGAAAAGTTTCTTTTTAACTAGAGATCTGACCTAATTGCTCAATGAAATTAAGTGCATATCTCATTCAAACTGCAGTATGTCTACCCCTGTTGTTGTTGATTTTTAAAGCTCCTCTTGTAGTGAATCAGAGGAAAGCCGTGAATTGTTAACTCTGAACATGGCAAGGGAGAAGGAGGCCCAGCCTCCCTCCTCTTTTCCTCTACTGAAGCCTGAGCAAAAACTATCAGTTAAGAACCTCATGCTCCCCATCATGTGAATAAAGATGCAGCAATTCCCCATAAAGGGTGCTGAAGGTCTAAGAAACACCTTTTATAGGTGATGCACATCTATTTGTGACCAACACTTTGGCATAAATCTGGATTGCTGAGAATGCTCACATGCTAGTCCTTAAAAGTAATATCTATGCCAGGACCCCAAGACTGGCTGAGCTGTAAATAGAATTAATCTTCTCATATGCTTGCCTGTTTTCTTCAGTCAATGTTCAGAAACATTCTAGATTTACAGAGAAAATCTGCAAGAGAGCGTTCCCCAGCTCCAAAGGAAAAGAGGTCAGCCTCATGTACTTGGGAGCCTCCTGCATTGCAAACCGAGACCAATGTGAGGGTCCTTAATTTTTCCTGAGAACATAAATACCTAAGTAATGCTGTGCTGGATTGGATGACTGGCCTATCTAGTCCAGCAACCTTCTTTTACAATGGACAGCCAGCTGCACAAGGAAACCGTAGCTCAACAGACGACCTTCAGAGGCAGGCATGCTGCCATCAAATCTAATAATCATTTATCTCCATGATTTCCCTGAATTGATCCAACCCTTCTTGGAAACAGCTAAGCTGATAGCTAGCATCAACCCTTGTTCATATTCTCTAATCAGTTGCACCTCTTCTGCCCAGCATTGATTCCAATCTAGGATACCTAATTCCAAGTTAGAATACTAAATACCTAGAGAGATTGGGGAAAATATACCAAATTCAAATATTGCACAACTTCAAAATAATCAAGTCTCAGTATAGTTAGGGTGGGATTCTAATTTGCCCTGATTTATCTCATTTATTTTCACTGTGAAAACTATAGTTTTTTTTTTAAAAAAAAGCTGAATTGTTTTCCTTTCAAATAACAACAAGAGGCATTCATAAACACCATTCCTTTGCCTCTGTCTGTCTTCTCAGTTACTGACCTTGCAAGTACTTCCTGCTGGTTCATAGGTATAAGAACGTCTTCAATTACATCAGTCCCAGGTGTATCTGGTCGGAAAACTTTCCTCACTTGCTGGTCCACTGGGGGAGAAGGTGACTCCTCTATATTGCACTCCTGAGCACCAGAGAACATGGGAGGCAGCAATTAGGAATATACATTAGATCTGGTTGACAAACATCTGGGTAACCCTATATTTTCAAAGTACCTCCAAAAAGAAATTGGGGCAAAATGAATCAAGAGTGGCCATCTTCTAAATATGTAGAATTAAGTCTAAAATCAAAGCTGATTGGAACATGAGCATACTGCAGCTGCTTCCTATTATCTTTGGTTTTGATGTTGTCAGACTTCAGCCCCACCCAAATGTTCTGCAAGGAGAAAGGAAGAGCAAAGAATTCACTCTGCGTGTGTTGAAGATGCTCCAAACTGAAAAGCCATTCAGCTGTTGACCTCACAATGCTCATATAATTGGAATCAGACTAAGATGGAGCATTTTCAAGATGTGTAAGACCCCTGCCCCTCCCCTCTACATATGCAATGTATGATACACATGTCTTCCCCCTCTGCCAACTAGGTCAGTTCAGAGCTACTAATTACATATATGGGAGAAAGCACTGGTAAACTTATACTTTACCATATTTCTTACATGGAGTGTAAGAAGCTTAACACAGTAAAAGATGAAATGAATCAGCTAGATATGAATATCTTATGCATCAGTGGAGTGGACTTCGACACTTTCAGTCAAAGAATCATACAATTTACTACTCAAGGCACAAAAACCACAGAAAGACTGGAATTTTTTTCACAGTTGGAAAGAATATAGCAAAGCTAGCCCTTGGGTACAATATGATGGCTGTCCAAATTTACGCTCTAATGATGCAGAAGAAAAAATGGTTAATGGATTTTATAGTCAAGTCCAACCTGAAATAGACTTGTAAGTAAGATGTGCTGCTCGTGGTTGGAGACTACAATGCCAAAGTTAGAAATAGTAAAGAGAAAAACCTAGTTGAACTATATGATTATATACAGAAGTGATGGAGGAGAATAACTTATTACTTTCTGCAGATCAAAGGATGCTAATATTCAATAGCTTTCAAATAACCAAAATGATGCCTATGCATTGATATTCCCAAACTACCCAAAAATCAAATTGCCAATATTATTATTAATACAAGGATTGGGTTTGCCATGTCAAGATGAGGAATATGCTTAGCAAAATAGGGAGTGCCAGAATATTTCACTGTCCTCATGTGAAATCTAGACACAGGACAGGAAACCACAGCCAAGACAGACCATGGCAAAACAAAGATTCCATATTGGCAAAACAGTTAGTAAAGACTGTATTATTTGGTTATTTATTCAACCTATGTACTGAATATATATTAAAGGTATTGGTGGAAAATGTGCAGAGTTTAAAGCCTGGAGAAAGAAACAACAATAACTTGTTTACTGTGCTGATGGCTCTACTCCAAGAGCAGAAAATAAAAATCATCTACAAGCTCTAGTAATTAAAGTAGAGGAGTCCAGGAAGAAATTACTATGATTAAATGTAAAAAAGATCAAAATAATGACAGCAGGTACTGCCACCATCCTTAGAACTGACAAAGAAAGATACTGAAGTGATGGGCAGCTTCTTATCTTTAAGACTAACTGTCAACATCAAGAAATCAGTAGCTAATTAATACTAGTTTAATGCAATAATTTAGCATTGTTGGATGTAGTTTTGAGAAAACTCTCCAATTCTGCTGGCAGTTATGACATAGAACTCTGAGGAAATTTTTCTTGTAAAATAATATGAATTGTAAAAAAAAAAAAGTAATTCTTATATACAGTAAATGCATTCTAAGATCACCCTCAAGGTATGATAACAATTTGAAGCACTAAGAATTACAATAATTAGAAAACCCATTTTTTCTCTCCTCAAAGAACGCAGTATTGCTAAATCTACTCCATCTGACTTAAAAGCATTTTGTGAACATTCTGGTATTGATGACATAAAAATAATCCCACTTCTCCTTTCCTGTTTTATAATGAGGACATAGAGTTCCATCTGGCAGAATACCTTAGCTAATAATTCAGTATCTGCAGCAGGGATGAGGGGTGAAGGAGCTTGGTCAGAAAGAGCTTCAGCTGACTCTGCCATTTCTAGAACAAACAGGAGGTGGAGATAAAATAAGAAGACATTAGGAGAAAGATCTGTTAACATTTTGCGGTTGGAATTGATTTGAGAGAGGCATTTTTTAAAGGCAGCTAAGCTTCCTGAAGGGCTAGGCCAGTGACTGTTAACCTTTTCAGCACCGAGTGCCGAAACTGGAGCGCACATGCGCCAGAGCACCGGAAACCAGAAGAGAGCAGCTGACCAGTGCGCATGCTTGCAGTGGCCACCTGCTGTTCCGGGTTCCATCACGAGCATTCATGCCAGACAGCTAGTCCAGCACGCATGTGCACTGGCTAGCTGCTATCTTCTGGGTTCCAGAGCACGCATGCTGGAAGAGAGCAGCTGGCCAGTGCTCATACATGCCAGACAAGCATGCACGCAACAGAACCCGGAAGAGCAGTGGCAACGGCGCGCATGCCCACAGAGAGGGCTCTGTGTGCCACCTCTGGCATGCGTGCCATAGGTTTGCCATCATAGGGCTAGGCAAACACTTTGGGTCCCCTCACTGCTTTGAGGTCTCTATGAAGAGACAGATGGTGATGCTGTTTAACAACTCTCACTGATTCACTAGATCATCTTTCCAGAGTCTATCCTGGTTATATCCAGGTGACTTTTAGACATTGTAATATGCTTTATATGAGTGCTTTTGATTAAAGTTTGGGAGCTTCAACCACCTAAAGAGCAGCACTTCCATCTTGTTTAGCTTATTTGCTCAGTCTAAGGTGTGTCATATTTTTTTTTATTTTTTTAAATTTTTTATTATTAAATATAAACAAAAATATAAAGACAATACAAAGACAAACAAAACCCCCACCACCTACAAAACCCACACAACATTCTACATATATACTTTTTGTCATCAACAGAATATATAGTGTTCTACTTTATATATTAATGAAAAAATAGTATTAGATTCTTAATTCAAATACTTGGAATTGTCAAAGTGGTCTGTCAAATTTTTTAGCTTTCAATCTCCAAACATTAAGGATGCTCAAAAGCTTGGACATGCCTTGGGGATTTTAAAGATAGTTTAATTACTTTAATATAATTTAGATGTGCTTGATAAATAACTACATAAATATCATAACTTTTAACATTTTGTTTCATTTATGTGCAGTCTAATTTAATATATAACTCCTGCAAGACATCAGTTGCCACAGATTCTCTAGGATTGAGGCTAAAAGTTAAAGGCATAGCTGGTGCTATTTAGGCATCAGCACTTCACTCTGAATGGTCTTGATTCACAAGATCCCAGTAGTAAAAGAAGTAAAGAAATTAACTGGAGCAACTGGTTACTCCAAAAACTGCACTGTTCATCTCTTCCAAAAGCCAAAGCAAGAAAAACCCCACTGGATCTCCCCAGAACACTGTTTAAAATCTGAGGAAGGGCATTGGGCTTACTGCTCCACAGAGTCAGCTAGCCACCTTCCTGTTGGCAGGGAGAATGTTCCCCAGCTGGCAAAGGCAGTACTCAGCAGTTAGCAGATGGCAACCGCAATAAGTAAAAACAAGAAGAAGGTAGCATAATCTGCTTCTGCAATATGACAGGGAATCTGCTTGGGGGCTGCAACACACATATGCATAAGCTTACCATTCATTGCCCAAGATAAAGAGTTTTGCCATGCCTCAAGACAACATTGGCCCTATCAATTTTCTCTGGCACTTTTGAACAGATATTAAAATATCAGACATGGAATTTTCTGCTGTTACATTTATTAAATCTAAGAAGAGACTATACCATCTACTAGGATCACTTTCTGGAATCTAAGTAATCTTATATTCTTCCAGTTGGTCTGTGCATATTGTTCTACTTGCATAAAATATCTTCAATTTTAATACTTTGCTTAATGTATTATGGTTTTTGCTAGTCATGAAGAAGGCAAAGTCTCAGTCTCTCTCTCTCTCTCTCTCTCTCTCTCACTCACTCACACACACACCACCAAAAAATCTCTAATTTCCTGGAATGTTCAACGTTATCCAGCAGATCCTCTGTCATTAAAATCCCAAGAAGCTGTCACCTTGCAGTCCCTTCTGGCCCCTTTAAAATTTTCCTTGGGTGTCTTGATTCGTGATTAGGATTTTCAATATGACTACGATGATGATGATGATACTTAAGTCTAGCAGCCTTTTGTCATCTCTAATGACAATACATGATAGAATGTTTATTAAAGTTTTGCCTTGGATGTATTTTTATTGTCTCAGGCTGAATGAGACAAGCTGAGTTTCTGCTTCATTATCCTTCTCATTCTCCATTATTTTCCTGTTCATCTCAGGACAATTCTCTAGCTTCCTCTGTCCATTGACAGATGAGTAGCTGACACCCATTTACTGATCTTACAGTAAAACAGTTACAAATGTTCATTTCATAATATTCATAGGATGCAAGAGAAGCTCAACAGAAGACACTGTGACTTTATTTATATCCGTTTCGGGTGTTTCAATGTAAAATTACTATAGTATAGAATTACTATAATATAGTATAGAAACTATAGTTTCTTGATAGGTGTTCTCAGTTCCTCTCTCCATCCCTGACTTTAGTCCACAGCAGTGATGTTCAGGCTGCCTGAGGTTTTCATGCTCTTCTTGTGTTTTGTTCCATCACAAGATTCTTCACTGGCTCCCTACATGAGTCAGAGTCTAGTTCAAACTATGGATGCTTACAATCAGACTGCCCCCTTCGCTCATTCATAAATCTGTATTTGTCTGCCTTGTTTTCTTCTGCTAGTTCTTTGTGTTCCCTGGGGGCAAGGTTGTCTTTTACTTTGCCATTCCAGGATTGCAATCTCTAGGCTCTGGGATTTCAGGTCGCAAGCCTGAAAATCTAGAAATCAACTCTGTCCTTGTCTTCATCTCTCTGAATGTGATGGTTTTTAAAGACCCTTTTCATTTGACTAGAGGATTAGCGTGGAGCTTGGTTATTTTACCCTACTCAGAATAATATGAGTACTTTCCAGGTTATTGTTAGTTTTATATTAATCATGGATACACACATGTTCTGGAATACTTTGGGACATTATTTTAATATATACGGTTGTTGCATTTGTTTTAGTTCTAAATATTGATTTTACTAGTTTGGTTGTTAGGTTATGAACTCATTTTAATGGTTGAAATTTTGTAACTACCCGTGTTTTCCCGAAAATAAGACCCTGTCTTATATTTTTTTTGAACCCTGAAATAAGCACTTGGCCTTATTGCCATGTGCTCAAAAGCCCAATTGGGTTTATTATCAGGGGATGTCTTATTATGGGGGAAACAGGGTATTTTATTTTTTTTTGGATTGGTACTGTGCCTTGATCAAGGCATGTAATAAATAATTATGCATATTTTCTAACTAAGAACAATTTACATTTTTAATTATGATATAATAATTGTTATACTCAGACTACATTCTGCAACCAGAATCAAGTTTTGGATTCCTACCTTACCTACAGAACCTTTCACATGTACCTGTTCCACTTGTATCCACTTCTTTCCTGACACTTCCTTCCAAAGTGTGGAACTTCAGATCATAAGCATTCCTCAAGGCACTGATATCTTCCTCGAGCCGGAAACGAGACTCTTGTTCAGCTTCATATTCCGCCTTCAGCTGGGCCAGCTTCTCCTCATACTCCTGAAAATGTCAGGAAAATCAGCAAAGGCAATCTATTGTAATACATCTTTGAATCACCCAGAGTTGCTTTGCAGAAAGAGATGGGTGGCGTATACTGTAAATTTAATTAAAATAAATAATTAAAAAAACCTTCTAAACTACCTTATCTTCTAGAGCAGGGGTGTCAAACTCACATCATCATGGTGGCATCACGTGATGTATTGGGAATTTTCCCTCCTTCGCTAAACCAGGCGTGGGTGTGGCCAGCGCATGACGCATCCGGCACATGTGCTGGGAGTTTGACAGCACTGTTCTAGGGGATGTTTGTGACTGACAGGGACTTTAAATCTTTTAGGAAAAGAACAGGAATTATAGGCTTGCATTACAATTTATTTAGTGGGTGCTGAATTGCAGAGGCTTTTATAGAAGCTCAATTTTGTGGCCTTGGCAGATGCCGTTTTGGCTAACCTAGAAAGCTAAATGGGATTAGCCCTCATTAATTTTGAATGGAAACCACTTTGATTCTCCAGGGCTATAAATTATAAGTTATTTCTGGAAAGCTAGCATCAGTCAATGTCCACAGATAGTTAACAATGCCTTAATTATGTTAAAACAGTCAAAAAAATAAACAGTGAACAATCTTTCAGAAGCCCCTTCTTTCTTGGTTGTGCCTGTTGTTTTCTCAAAATGCCACATCTTGAAGTTCACAAACAAAAACAGATAGCTGAGATCTAAAGGACAATTGTTTTCAGAGATAATGCCATCTTCAGAAAATATTTCCCAGGGAAATTTATTAACACCATCATTTTTATCTTTAGGTTCCCCCCCAAAATGAGAAACTCGTCAAGTAGCAGCATCTTTTTTTCAGGCTCATGTAGAAGCCTCACGCACATCCACACCCACACCCCTCTTTAATGGATCAATTTGAAATATGTGTTTTCAAAGGGAAAGAGCCTCATGATTCAGCTTCCCTGTTGGGTGATTTTGTTATTCCCTAAAAGTCAGTTAACATGCTATCTGTACTAGGAAACCTCTATGGCTCTCAATCTGCCATGCTGGCTAGGGTTTATGTGTGAATTAACCTATCTGGAAGATCAGATTATGGAAAACTTCAGCGTAGAATTTCCTTCCTGTACCAGTGTTCAGAGGACATGGCCAACTTACTTCTCGGATTAGTTGCTTCTCTTTCTCAACATCTGGCTGGAACTCAGGAGCAAGTTCTAGCTTGTCCTCAGGTTGAACAGCCTCAGGAGGTAACAAATGAGGACATTCCACTAAGGAAGGAAGGAAATACTGTAACTAAAAAGCAGTATGTTTTAGAGGCTTATCCATACTGCAGGATAAGGAGCAACCCTTCAGTTGCTCCTCTCCTGTGCTCATGCTGGCTTGACATTGAGACACTTGGGCAACAGTTTGCAAGGAATTCAGCCAGAATGGCAGGTTGCTGTGTCCTCCTACTCCATAATTCTTCCGCTGCTCTTCCATCCCACTTTTCTGTTTCAGGAAAGCAATTACCAATCAATTTATGATACTTCCTGATCCTGAGAGCACATCTTCTAGGACATATTTACAGTATATTTATATATGTCTACCATTGAATTGAATAGTGAGAATTAAAAGCATTGAAGTGTACCAGTGGTGGGTTCCTCCCGGTTCGGTCCGGTTTGGCCGAGTCAGTAGCAGTGACGATATGACGTCACCGAACCGTTTCTCCCCCTCCGCCCTCCCACCCCCCCACGTTATTCTTACTTTTTATTTGGTCCCACCCCCAATCTATTGCTGCCTCCTGAGTCCCAACTGATGACTAGAGGGAAAAAAACTGTTTAAATTCTTGCCGTGGGGCTTCAAAGGGCCGTCCTACAGCTGATCAGTGTTAAAAGCAAACAAATGAGTCGGGTCGTAAGTGCGAGAACTGGTTGTAAGTGCAAGAACCTTCCAGAAATGACTCTGACCAGCTAGCCACGCCCACCTAGTCACATGACCTCCAAGCCACATCCACAAAATAAGCCATGCCCACAGAACCGGTAGTAAAAAAAATTAGAACCCACCCCTGAAGTGTACATATGTGTAAGCACAACAATCAATGAAAATTAAAATGCCTTTTTATTGCCCTGTTGTTGTCTTTATGTTTTCTAGAGTTTTACAGCTATCAGGATTACTGTAATAGTACAATAGTTATAACACTTAACTTTTAATTGGCTGGTTGTTTGAAACTCGGCAGAAATTTGCTTTAAGCAAACATTTCATTTTTTCCCCATGAGCTACAGTGAATTTTTTAAAAAGAATGAAATGATGTACTCATGAATTCATGCTACATGAATCCAGCTCATGAGCATGGGAGCAAGATAACCCAAAGAAAAATAGTAAGTCTATTTTTAGGTTTCTGCTGAGTTTTGACCTAATGACTTTCTATTCAGAAGGCAAGAATTCTAACCTTTGTGCTGTTATAACATTCCTGGTAAAAGTAACTCTAGAAGATATTAGAGATCATTGTAATCCCTGATTCAGTTCAGAGGGCATTCTTAATTTTGTTACTTACCGTATTTTCCGGCGTATAAGACAACTGGGCGTATAAGACGACCCCCTACTTTTCCTGTTAAAATATAGGGTTTGGGCTATACTCACCGTATAAGACTACCCCTCTTCCAACGCACAACAAATAAAAATTAAAAAACATCAGATTTGATTTCAATATGGTAATTTTAATTCAAATGCTTATGACATGCAGGTACTTAGCAGGAAAACTGTCACTTATAAACATAAGGCTATTTGTCATCAAACATGTAAACATAAAACAGGGCAATTGGATTAAACTTTTCCTAATTCACTCTAAAGCTGAAAGGAAGGATAAGACAATAAACCCATGAGAGCTGCCATGCTGTTTGTTTTCTAAGCTGTCAACCAAACTGGAACTGATGATGATAGGAGGAAGATAACAAACAATAGAGAGAGAGAGGAGAGAGAGTGCCGGGCAAGTCCCTGGCGAGTCAGCAATGCCCATCATAACTGCAAGCTATTTTACAGGTTTTGCTGTCGTGACAGTTTCCCTTTAAAAGCCTTCAAAATCCTCCTGTTCGTCATCTGATATCATAAGTACATCAATGACATCTTGTGATACATTTGTAAGGCAGTCATCATATGGATCTAATTCTGTATCAGATGGTGTGGTCTCAGCTTCGGCTTCCTCTTCATCTTGCCACAAGTAGTCGTCCTCCATACCATCTAATGAATTTGATATGCCACACTTCTTGAAAGGCTTGATTACTGTTTCTGCATCAATATCATTCCAGGCTTTTATGACAAACTTGCTCAAAACATCCAACTGTGGAGCACGCATGTTTCCTCCTTTTGTGAATGACTTTTCGCCGCTAACCATCTATTCATTCCACTGTTCTCGAATGCGATCTTTAAATGGCTTGTTTAGGCACACATCCAGTGGCTGTACCAACGATGTCAATCCTGCAGGAATAACTGCCGCATCTGTGTTTATTCTTGCAAGCCTTTGCTTGGTGCTGGGAGTTAAATGAGCCCTGAACATATCCCACACCAATAGACTACGTTTTTGAATAAGTCCACCTGGTTGCCTGCTCCATACATTATCAAGCCATAGCTTTACCCCTTCTTCATCCATCCAGCCTTTTTCATTCACATGTACAAAACAACCAACAGGGAACTTGAGTTTCGGCATTGTTTTTCTTTTAAAAATAATCACTGGTCTCAGTTTGGAGCCATCAGCTGTGCATGCTAGTACCACTGTAAAACTGGACTTCTCATGTCCTGTTGTTTTAATTAAAATTGTTTTTTCACCTTTTGGATGGACAGTTTTATTTCCAACCATATCAAAATTCATTGGAGTTTCATCCATATTTCCGATACTACTTAACGCATAGCCATGTTTATTATGCTGTTGTATTACATATCAATGGAAACTATTTACTTTGGCATCAAGATCTGCAGGTAATTTTTGTGCAATTTTTGTCTTTTGCCTCAGTACCATATTACGCCTTTCCAAGAATCTAGTACACCAGGATACAGTGGCCTTAAATCTGTTGCTGTGATCTGGGTTAGATTTGGCCCACTGAAGTGCAAACAGACGTATTTTATTTCATGTCACTACATAACCGTTTTGACGATGCTCATTCACCATGTCTCCTACATGTTTTTCGAGTTCTGGCCAATGTGGGGTGCCTCTTCTTAATGCTCTTTAATGCTTTTTCATTTGCTTTCCAGTCCCGAACCATCTTTTCTGTTACTCTATATTGTCTTGCAGCAGCACAGTTATTATGTTCCATGGCAAAGTTTACAATTTTAAGTTTGAAACTGGCTTCATATTTCTTTCTTCTTGCTGGTGGAGCCAGGATGGGGTCTTGACTGTTAGCCATTTGTATACTGTACTATATGAACTGGTACAGATACCTACAAGCCAGGCTGCCCATCTGTCAAGGTAACGGGCCACGTGTAGCGCGGCAAGAGGGCTATTTCGTACCAGGTTTTTTTCCTGTCACACAGCTATTGGCAGGGCTATTACATACAGCTCCTTCAGTCAGTCTGTTTTGCATTTATGGGCGGTCGGCTTCAGCTCCAGGCACTTGGAAAAGCCATGGCAGCAGATCCCTCTTGGGCCAGTCGACCTTGTAATTGACAGGGATCGGTCGACTAGACGACAAGCGCCATAATGTGTGCTCCCTTCGAGCCGGTCTGCCTTGCATCAGAGTAACAGTGGAATTAACGGCATGGGCCTGCGAGAGGGGGCACCCAACTTCATGGCACCCACGACAGGGGGGCTTCCTGGGTGACTGTCTGCCTTGTGTTGACGGGGACAAAGTAAAAAAAAAAATGGCGTGGGCGCCAATTTCAAGTGCCAGGGCACCCCCGGTAGGACAGCTCTTCGAGCTACTCGGCCTTCCCTTAGCGGCTATAGCCCCAGGGAATAACGGCAGTTGCGGCAGGAGCGCCCCTTTCAGGCTGGTCTGCCTGGTTACAGGAGACAATTTGGTGACAGCGACGGCGCCATAGCAGTCGCGCAAGGGGGGTTTTTCCTTTGTAAACAGCCTGCCAGGCTGGCTGTTTACTGATTATGCAGCGGTTACGCGTGTGCACTAGTACGGCCTCAGAGGCTATATTTCACGGGTGGGACGGTTACCGCCTTTCTCTTAAAGCTGCCCAAAGACAACACAGGGAGCGGGCTTATCCCCTTTGAGCACTGGCGGCTTTCCTCTGGAGAGCCAGGCTCTCTGGCAATGACTAGAGATGGTAGTAGCTGCTCTTACCGCCTCCGTCAGTCTGTCAAGGTAGATATCGTAGGCTTATACCCGGCGTATAATCATATGTTAAAAAGTTGTCTTATATACGCCAGAAAATACGGTAATCAATGAGCTGCTGGAGTTATCTTGTAAGAAAGTAGAATGGCAAGGAGCATTCAAAATACTGTGGGAAAATGGAGTACTTTAAAACTGCAGGGGGGAAAAATCCCACTTCAAGAAGTCAAATTTGTAATGGGAGGAGATAGTATAGACTAGAGTGACATTGCCTGGTGTTGACTTAAGAAATGGTTGCTGGTCCATTCTGGCAACCAGGTAATCACACAGTGCAGAAATGGTCCTGGCAGCAAGCTTATTCTACTAATTATTTTATAATGATTGAAACTACCATCACTTCTAAGAGTTGGATACTGTCCACATTAACTCCTGATAGATGAACTTTCAACATTTTGTTTCTCTCATTATTTTAGCGTGGGAAATATATGGTTGTATTTAGCTATGACAGGCAATCTAAATTTTGTAACCATAATTTGAAGAAAAAACATGATTTCCCAGAATTTATAATACAAGAACTGAATTTCTGGGAAAATGCCATTTTCTCCCCACCATTTTAAGAAATTATTAAAAGTATCTATGCATCATTGAAAAATAGTTTGCCAGCATTAAGGCCATCTAAGAAAAAAGTTAGCAAAAATCCTTTTGGAAGTTTATTAGATTCCCCAAAGTATGTTAAAGAAGAAATTAGCTATTATCCTTTCCATGTTTGAGATGCAATGAACACAAAGGAACTCTAGTACACGTTAAGATTACCCTCACTGGGAATTTTTTATTGGTTAGATGTTATTACTAGGGTGAACTACAGTAGTTTCTTGGGAAAAAGTTAAAGTTGAAACAAGCTAAAGGATTACTGAACTGTATTCCAAAAATTGGGATTTATCAATGTATAAAGATCTTTGGATAAATTGTGCCTGGATATCAGTGTAAAAAGTACTACGTTTGTGTAGCAGATTCTAAATGTTGGTTCAATGAAATTTGTTGAATTAGCTTTGTGTTGTTAGAGTGGCAAGATCAGGATAATATCATTTGATTTGATCTTTTCCTTGGAAATAAATAAGAAAGTATACCCAGTGTTCTTATTCCTTCACAAACATTTTCCATTTTGTTCCTCTGGAGCCCTTGCATCTCTAGTCATTGAATGCAACTTGTGTGAACATATTCTTAATTTTTCCTTTCACTTGTGAGACAAATAACGGGAAAGTGGGTGGTGCCCCCCCTTTATAATAATGCAATGACTGTCATTATTGAAGCAGATAAACTCTTTTTCAAGCAAACGACCCAAGGAACTAATGCAATTGAGGGGTCCTTGGTACTCTCTGAGCCTGATTCCTTTTTTGTTTCATTATCTAACTAAGCGACATCATCAGTATTTTAAAGCAATTGTACCATCCCCATCTAAATGGGCCCTACCTTGCAAGTTATTCAGGTTGATCTGCTGAGCCAAGATAGCTTTCAAATGCTTGATCTCCTCCTGGTACTCCCTCAGGAGAGCATCTTTAGGATCCTCATTGATGCGAGGCTTGTTGCGGATATTTTTGGCTCGGTGGGCATAGCGCAAACTGCTAAGAGTCTCATCATAATTGTTGTCAGCAGGAGACAAGCATGCCACCATAAGTGTCTTGGTGTTACCTCCAAGAGAGTCCTGCAGCACCCGAGTCAGTTTGGAGTCTCGGTAAGGGATATGCCTACATCTTCCATCTGCCAGGGCTGAGATCACATTGCCAAGTGCTGAGAGAGACAGGTTGATTTTGGTGGCCTCTTTGAGGCGCTCACCAACAGCTCCAGTTTTGGACTGCCTCTCACTCCCGGCAAGGTCTACCAGATTGAGCTTTGAAGCCCTCAGATGATCTTGACCTCTCTCATCTACATAAAAAGAATGAATCTGGGTTGATCAAAGTTCTTGAAAGAGAAAGTAACTCTTAAATTGTACATTATAGCTTTAGCAACCTGACATTCCTCAGGCTACCTGGGATTGTATCTCCCAGACTTCCCAGCTAATAAGGTTATTAGCTCATCTATTACAATCCAATCTCATCCAACAGGTGTCAGATTCAGAAAAGCTGCTCTAAAATGTGAGGAATGTGTATTTCCAGTGATAAGAAAATTATTTCTGTTCATTTCAGGTGTCAGAAAGCACATTTTCAGGCATTTCAAAAACTGAACCATGTGGATCACATCTACTCAAGAATAAAATCACATGATAATAAAGTGATGAAGTGCTTGAATGGACTAGCCCACTCCATTCCTCTATTACAATGTTCCTCTACATTAAAATGTATAAGGGAAATGTTTTTATTTTTTATTTATTTATTTTAAACATTTATATGGCTGTCCAACTCAACCAATGTGACTCTGGGAAGTACAGAACAAAAATGAGCATTAAACAAGATTTTTAAAAAAGTTACATATCATTAAAAATAACTCAGATGTGTGAAATGGCAAACTGAGCAGCTTGTGCTTCAAAAAGTTAAGTTAAAATATGATATCGTTTCCTTGGTAACACACATCAGCCAAAGTGATTTTGATTTAGTATTACATGTGAATTATGTTTCTACTAGTTGTTCAACAAACTATGATTAAAATGAATTTTGCCTTAACTATGTGAAACAAATGATAACCTGACTAGGAATAAATGACATGAAGCAGCTATGCACAATCATCTATGATAGTATCAGAGAACCAGGAGCATGATTTTAAGATTTGTAATCAATAATCTCCATAAAGATTTCATATGTTCCACTATGCAATATCCTTATAGGTAGCTGTTACTGCTTAGAAGAAAATGGTCTTGTGGCAGCCCAACCTTTATACAACTTCCACAGATCAATTGTGGAGCAATTAAATTTTCTTTTGATTCTTCTCTCCCTGATTCACCAACAGTGATCCAGAACTCTGCTTTATGCAATCCCAACCCACCTCCTTACCCATCTACATTTCATTTTTACCTACAACGTAGATTTCCATATTGATGGTGAAGATAGAATGGGAACGGGAGGAGTCCTTGTTCATCAAGGTATAGCCCACCGCACGATTTTTCCAGCCTGTCTCCATGATGCGCTCGCACTGGGTGATACTATGTACTGTGTGCTGTGAAAGACCCTTCACATACACCCCTTTCTCTGGATGCTCTTTCAGCTGCAAGGAGGGTCAACAATTACAATGAAGACTGCAGAGAACTGTATAGACTAAGAAGTGGCCAGAAGCTGTTTTGTCAAGTTTTAGGGCAGTAATCAGGTGTTCAGGCAACTGGATATTTTGGATCCAGAATACAATAAGCACAAAGTGAATAAAGGGATTTAGGTTTTATTATTAGCTCAAGCATAACATAAAAAAGCACATATACCAAGCAAGGTGATATTCAACTCTCTTATAAGCTACCAGGAGCTCCAACAGAGATATTCCAAGAGTGTCCAGTTTTCACAATACCACACTACTGGGTTTCATGTGGAAATCAGCAACAAACAAACAACAACTCCTCCAAAGCTTGGCACTTTGACTTCATGGCCTTGCCATGGTCGGGAGACTGCAGGACCTGCCCGGGACATGATTCTGGGATGGGAATTGAATGTCTGAGATTTTCAAGGTGGGAAAAGCTTTGAAGCTACACAAAGATCCCCCACCTGTTCACCTTCGTTCAGTCAGCAAGAGTGAAAAACAAACAGGCTAGCTCAAAATGAGCTCTGCATTTTTAGACTATTTTTTTTTAGGGAGGAGAAATCAAAGCAAGTCACCAAACTCCTCAAAATAACAGTGGTCTTCCACGCTGCCACTAGAGGCTCAAGGAGTAGGAAGGAAGATCTTGAATATACAATACAGTATAGTATAATGGTGCTTTACTACTACTGAATATCCGAAGGGATAAATTCTCCTTTCTTATATAAGTTTATTAAATCGTTTAAAAACAAAGGCAAAAACTAATACAACTAATATCATGTAAGGAAAAGAAAAAGAAATCAAGGAAAGTGCAAGAAAGAAAGAAAAAGTAAAAGAAAAATAGAAAAAAGACACAAAAAAGTGGTTTCTGATCTTTTTTACAGCTGTTACAAGTACAATTGTAGTTTTATCTCTTTCTCTAAGTTACATCGTGACTCTTCTTTCAATATCTCATCTAATCATCTAAATCCGTGATGGCGAATCTATGGAACGTGTGCCACAGATTGCATACAGTGCCGTCTCTGTGGTCATGTGAGCTGTCGCCCCAGTTCAGCTCTGGTGCGCATGCGCACACGGCTCCCACCAGCCAGCTAATCATCGGGTCTCTGCGTGCATGCATAGGGCGCATCCACGGGGCTGCACACACATTACATTTTGGGGGTTCAGGTGCACGCATGCACATTCATGGGCGCTCACACATGCTTTGGGCACTCGGTCCGGAAAAGGTTAGCCATAACTGATTTTAATGATAAGTTCATTTTTTTTCTATTTTACACAAAAGTCTATAAGGGGTTTCTAGTCAGCAATAAACAGAGATATTGTCGTTTCTCTAACCAACATGTCAATTTGTCCATATCAGCAAGTTGTTTTATCTTCACTAACCATTTCCGCATTCTAGGAAAACATACATCGACATAGATACACAGAAATCTGGTCTATCTTGATTTTAACTGATGGGGAGAGATATCAGAACCCAGAATGTTCAAGAATTTGTCCCTTCAGAACAGAGAAATTGATCACCCTGATATATATTGCTTAATTCAATGTGTTACTTATTTGCCTAACCTGTCTGATCTTTGATTTCATGTCACTAATAATTTTTTTATTGTATAACATACATTCTTGACATAGTTTCTTTTGCTCATACTGAATTGTCAGAGCTTAAATTTCTGGCATTGTTGGGTTGTTTGACTTACTTCATACTAAGTTCTTGCCCTGTTAGTCTGTTGTCCTCACCTCCAGTTTCTGCTTGGTGTTTGGACCCAGGAGGTCTCTGATTTCTTCATTATAGATCTCCAGGTAAGAGGCTCTCACCAAAAACTTGGTGTTTTCTGCACACTATAGAAAAATAAAAGGAAAAAAATATTTCTTAGATTTCCAGTCTGAGAATTTATTTGGTGGGGGCAGGGAGATTTATTTCCCATAGGTCCATAGGTTGATCCTATTTTAATAAGATCTGAAACTGTTGTACTCCAACTATCTACAACTATGCACACAGGATGTCAAGAAAATGGCTTATAAATACACAATTATTAATACTACTTTCTTATTTATTCATGACTTATTCCAGTATTGCCAGGGTAACATACATTACTGTTACCTTCTAAAATATGTTAGCTCACACTGGGTGTGTGTGCATGTTTGGAAAAAATATTTTAAAGGAATCTTCAAAACTGTTGATATAGTTTGAACTCCCAATGTCTAATACAAAATCAGAATGTCTTCATCAATATGTTCTATCAAAATATACTGTAGGGAGGAAGTTCATTTATTAGAGCTCTTACCTTTTGCTATCATTGAAAAAATATCCTCATACCTTTAGTCACCATTTACTTCTAGAATTTTAATTACTTATTTTGTGTAGTGAATTGTGTAGTGCAACCCTAGTCCAAGGTGACTGAGGCAGAAAATCTAATTTCAAAGAAAAGGTATAAATAAAAGAGTAAAAAAATGATTTGGAAATGCACAAAAATATATTGGAAGAATATTTTTAATAAGTTGAAGCTCATCAACCATCTCTCAAGATGTAGTCCTTAAAATTTTGAAAATAAAAAAGAATAGCACCCACTCAGAATAAAATATGGAATACATGTCAAATAACAACATCTAAAGAGGATATTTCATGTGAACTAACATGGAGCAAAACCTTTCAGGAAGGTTTCTTATACACAAATACAAGAGCATGGTATAACATTCTTTGTTAGTTCTCGTTCAATAAGACCTGTACAAACGTCAGAAGTTACAGCTAAAATTGCTTGTTGAAGTGTATTATCATACAATGATTGTTATTGTTGAAGTGTTTCGTCATACAATGATTATTAGGGTTTGAGATTTATTTCTAATTTATGTTATCACAAATATCACTCAACATATTATATTAGTTATTATACATATACAAACACACTCTTATATGTGTGTTATGTGTACAAACACAAACACATAATGCCACTGTTGACTTTAGGAGAATTGTATTATATCTGAGCCTTCTCTGTTGCATGAATGAGTTCAGTCATATTTGAGCAGAGTTATATGAATATCACTAGGGAACATCACTAATAAATAATAGTCTCTTTTATAAAAAGGAATTATATTAAATGTTACTAAATCTAACTTATGCTTGTGCTGTTCAGGATCTCTCTTTAATGTTTCTGCAGTGAAAGACTGGTAACACCTATCTGTAAGAGAGCAGGTGGACTGGTTGGTCTATTAGATAGAATCTCAATATTATGCAGTGATGGAAATCGGCATACCCATGAGAAAATAAGAGCACATCAACCCACAGCAGCTAAACTATAATGGCTGAGATAAGCCAGTTTCTTAATGAGGCATACAAAGTTGTTGAATTGGAGTTTCTGGAAGAAGAAACACAGAAGAGTCAGTTGCCTAAACGACAACTAGATACACTTTTGTACATTTTTTTATCAGTGATATACCTGCACACTCTCAAACAAATGTTCAAAGGCTCTGGGAATGATACCCTTCTGGGAAGGTGGATCCAGAATCCCTTGCATGGTAAAGGATTTCCCACTGCCTGTCTGCCCATAGGCAAAAATGGTCCCATTATAGCCTTCTGTAACACCCTGAAAAAGAAGAAATCGATCAATCAGAATAACAATAAACAATTTGGACTTGTGTGTTTCTATCTCAGTATCTGTCCTGTCTTACTGGATCCTCTTTCTAGCAACCTAATCAGACACATAATTGCTTGACTAAACTTGTCCTAGAGCAGTGTTTCTCAATCTCAGTGAGTTTAAGACTTGTGGACTTCAATTCCCAGAATTCCCTAGCCAGCTGTCTGGGGAATTCTGGGAGTTGAAGTCCACAGGTCTTAAACTCGCTGAGGTTGAGAAACACTGTCATAGAGTTTCAGCAGCCTCTTCTTATAGAGACAGAAATGGAATCTGAAAACGTAAATTGAGAGGTCAACATTCAGGTCCATTATCTAAGCATCTTTGGACAGGTGTTTCAACAAAAATAAAGATGCAAATTAATAGGAAAATTATTCAGTGGCTTCCAGAAATATATCACCTAACTTCATGTAAATTCTACAACTGACAAATTTTAAACAAGCAGAATAGCATAGCTTACTCCAACCTGGAACTAGAATTCTCATTATCCTCAACAAGATTGGACAAAATTCTATATCGGAGTAAGAGGTGAAAGAACGAGAAAGTGTGAGGGAAAATAAACCTGATAATCTACGGGGGTAAAGAAGTAACATTTGCAGGCATATTTCTATCTGGGTACAGAAATTAAAGGGGACTATTTGTAAGTATTCATGTCCAAGGGTTTTTTTCTTGGAGATGACTGGGTAGGAGTTGACTGAGTTTAGGAGTTTATGTGACACAATTGATCAGGGAAAGTCAGTTTAACCTAAAACAAGCCAGGGACCATTTTAATTGAAAACTTTAACACAGTTGATTGGTTATCCCATTCTTGGCATAGTCAAGTATATTGTGCAGAACTAGACATAATGTAATTTCTGAACCATAGGTATAACTTAAAATGTTGGGTGTTCCCAGCCAATCTTAACCATATTGATCCAATTTAAATCATATTAATCCAGCCACAATTTACCATGATTTGCCTATACTTGCAATATTTATGTACTGTAATTAATTTGTTTGACACCAACATCATCTGATCACTTTCACTCACCTCTATCACTGGGTAGGCAATTTCATTGTAGATCTGTTCCGTATTGTGGTTCAAGTAATATGCCCCATCAAAAGTAAATTGTTTGGGAGGATCATCTTCAGCTGTAGGGTTCTGGATGAAGCACTGACCACGGGCACTGTCCATATTAATTACTACCTTGCAGCCAAGCTGTTTTTCACGTTCATTCAAAGGGCGGCAACGCACAATCACTTTCACTGCTTCTGAGGCCATGGCAAAAACTCATGAACTCTGGCTTGTTGGCGTGTGTGTGTGTGTGTGTGTGTGTGTGCGCGCACGCACTAGGTCAAATTAATTCTGGAGCATGAAGTTCCTACTCACTTCTGTGGATGTCAGGAGCAAAGTGATAAAAGAGGCAAGTTATAGGCAGCTGTTGTATTCAGATATAACTGGCCTTGGAATCTGGCTCATTTTGCCTGGCAGTGTAAGAATTGGAAAACAAATACTCCCTTACGGGTACAGTCAATGCAAAGAGATGTGCCTGAACAAGATTGGAAAAGGCAATGACCTTTCTAGAAAGAAGGGAGAACCAACATCAATTTTAAAATGTCAAGGATGGGGAAAAAACACCCCAAAGGCAATGTTGGGCCTGGATGGTAAAGGGGAATCGGAATTAAAGCGGCAGTTGATTTTCCGTGGTCTTGCTGTGAGAGAGGTAGTGATATGCTACAGCAGAACGTTCCAGGTTTCCATCTCCCACTAGGCTGTGAATTTGTACAGGTTCTGGGGACAGTTTTCTATGGGACACACCTAGAACCCACTTATGACCTCACAATACCTCCTAGAGGCATAGAAGGCCAAGCAGTGGAAGGGAGGCATCCAGCAAATGATCTCTGCTTGTTTCATCCAAGGCTTTGATGCTGTAGCAGTGAAAGGAATACAGGGCCCCTCCACCGCTCTGACTGCAGCTGATCCAAAAATGGGCTTTCAGGCTCAGAAACCATGTAGCTTTGCTGCCCCCCGGCCCCCCAAAGAGACCTCAATGTTATTAGGGACTTTGAATTATGCCTGCATGGAAAGAGCACAGGGTTTCCTCAGGGAAGCTTGGAAGAAATTAGGCACTTTTCCTGATCAGTTTGACCCTAAGGATCACTAAGCACTGTGTCTCAGAAACAGGAATGTGGGAAGATGCATTAAGTCAAGTACAGTCCCCTCTCAAGCCTGGTGCAATAGACCTAGCTCTTCCATCAACCGCTGCTCTTTGGCAGAATATCAAAACAGATAAATGGCAGTGGAAAGAATAAAACACCCCTTCGGAGCGCCACCTTGACTTTGGCAATCTGTGGTCAGAGAACGAATGGAGAGTGTGAGGCTCACACTAAGCTTTGGAGCAGTGTCAGAAAAATGGCATGAGACAAACACACAAAAGGGAACTATGCTAAGACATGTTCCAGTACCAAAGAAGTGCCTGGAAAGGTATTTCTGCCTTGCATATCGGGCAGAGGGTTGGTGACTTAAAAACCACTTCACCTCTATTGACCTGGGATGAACTGGGGGGGGGAGGGGGAAAGCAGAGACTACAACCTATTTATTATTTGAATGAAAAGGGGCAGAATGATGGATGAATGGATGAATGGGGAAGTTGAGGAAAGTTTAGCGAGTGCAACAGAGGTGCCCCTCGAAGTAGGAAGCGCAGGGAAGCAATGTTCCCTTTTAGAAGCGGGCAGAGCTTGCCATGCAAAAAACCTGCTGGCTGGTTGGGGGGGAGGTGAGAGAGAAAATGGGGCAGTGAAGGAGGGCAACACCCAGGGCGCGGCCTCTGTCCCCGGACCTTCCTTCCTCGTGCCCGCCTCTCACCGTCCCTTCCAGGCGGGTCCTGGCTTGCCCGCCTGCACCCTTGCCCGGCGCCACCGACTTCCAGCTTCTATTTGCAGATTGCGGGGTTGCTGACGGCAGCGTCCCCGTTGCCTAGGATACTAGGGAGCATCGCTTCTATCCCTGGGGCTGCTCAGCGGGGCAACGGGCGGGGAATGTCGCGCAATTACTCTGCTGGTTCTGGGGAGGAAAAACAAAGTCTCCTGAAGACAAATTGCAAAGGCGCGAGTTGTTAGGCTGTGGCAAAAGGGAGGAAAAGCTTTGTGGCGCTTTGAAGTTTCTCAGCATTATAGCGACAGAAACTTTCAAGGATCACACACCTCAATGAGTTAGACGCTTGGAGTATCATGCTGAGACAGGAGAATATATGTGTGTGTGTGTGTGTGTGTGTGTGTGTGTGTAGAAATGGTAAAATCATAGGAAAAGCATACTATGGGCATATATATATATATATATATATATACCCACAGTATGCTTTTCCTATGATTTTACCATTTTTCTACCCTCACAATCATAGCTTCACCATTCTTCGTTTTTCAGCGTTCTGTTTGCGTTCACAAGCCTTGTCCCTTGGCTGTTTGTACCGGTAGTTGGTTTCTAAATGTAAAGGGATATTCAAATGTTTAATGCACCCCAGCTTAGAGCAAAAAAAAAAAAAAAGACACATTCAAATTTTGTCGCTAGTTTATACCAGCGTCTACTTGGTCTCCAAAGATCCAGAAGGCAGGCACACACAAAATAGACCTCACTGTTTCCATTTAGTGGCGGTCTGGATTTTTGCAATGTAATTCTGGCTGGTCTAATTGACGCTGGGGAGAAGCACACCTGCGAGTCAAATCATAGCTTTCATCATCATCATCATCATCCCTTAATTTTCCACAGCACCTTTCTCTAACTTAGTATGGGTGTTATTAAAAACGTCTGAGACATCATGGGTTATCTATCGAGATTCACCCATCACTTATTAAGCTACGCAAGAGACCCGCCGGATGATTATTTTGGTAGCACACACTGCTCGATTGGAAACCGGAACTCCTCATCTGGGGAGGCGGAGAGGAGGGGGGGAAAGCATTTCGGTGCACCAGAGACCGGAAGTGAGCGTGTCCCGCGTGGTCGCGGCCAGAGGAACCCCCGAGGAGGGCGCGAGCGTTATGGGGAGGCCCAGCAAAGTGAGGACCGGAGACGCGGGTGGAGAGTTCCTTGAAAGACTTTGGGAGATGTTGGATTTGGGGGCCCAACCCAGGTTTGGTGACGAGGGTGGGGAAAATGGAGAATGAGAGGGAAAAGGAGGCCGGGATGGGTTGCTGCGGCCGAATTGGGGAACGATAGAAGGACGAAGCAAGATTCGAAGTCTTAATCGGGAAAGGCCGATTAGCCAGTGATAAAAGATTTAGAAAACTCATTACTGGCCTGCTGCGAGATTGTTGTGATGCACCTGTCTATGCCCAAGAAAATGACATGGACGTGTCTTATTTTGTGAGGAAGTAATAATTGTTCGTCCTTGATTGAAATCCCTCCTGATTATAAAGTTCCTCTGCTTCTTAATGTGAGGTTCTGAGGTATTTTTCCACGCATATTAATAGAACCGTTTCACCTAGTATCTCCCCCCCCCCAAAAAAAAACTGACTTACTCTTCCTGATACCTGGGTAATTCCAAACAAATGGGCTGCAAATAATAGTGTAAAATTGCTTTTATGACCAGCTTGGTTTTGAAATAGTTAAAATTCTTTGCTGCTGTGGAGTTTTTTAGGGGAATATTCCATTATTGCATATTTTAGATTGTTAAGAAGAGTGGGGGAAACCAGAGCAAACTTATCCTAGGAGGCTATGGAAAAGTACCCTACAATAAGAAAGTAGATTTGATATGGAGGGGGATATTTGTTTTGCATATCTTGAACCCTACCAGTGTTATTCTTCATTCAATTCATTTTTCCGTTTCAGACTAAGAATCAAAAGAAGGAGCGAGCATCTGCCCAGCATCGATCTCAGGAGGAATATGGCTCTGTGCCTCACTCCTTTGTGTTTCATCGTGGTCGTATCGGCAAGAATATACAGCAACTCATCCAAGATGTTCGGCGAGTGATGGAGCCCTTTTCTGCTACCAGCCTCAAGGTGAAATAATTAAATTTGAGGCTACTGTGGTTTATGGGAATAATTGCTTTACAGGTAATGCTTAACAACCACAATTGGGACTGGAATGTCGATCGTTGATATTGGAGTCATTTTCTAAATTCCACTTGAACAGTTGAAAATAATACTTCCAAAAGCAAATATTAATTACATAGATTTACATGTTTATGGAAACAATCATGTTGTACAAAACATTTTCACGCTTTATTCAAGTTATAATTACTAGTGCTTGCATTTTATTTTCAAAGCAGACTATAAAATGAGGTGGGACAGCAGTTAAAAGCATGACAGGCTGTAAACAGGAGGAGGAAAACAACTTGGCTAAATATTGTAACATCACAAGGGCAACTAGGCAGACCAATCTAATCTTCAGTCCATTTTTGCAGTGCTATTTACTTCTAATAATGAAGTAAAATTTAAATATATTTTATCCTAGATTTTGTCCCCAAAACATGCCAGACGGTGGAATGGCCCTAGTCACAGTTGTGTCTTTTTTAGGTACGGAAGAAGAATTCTTTGAAAGATTTTGTGACAATAGCTGGACCTCTGGGTGTGACTCATTTCCTGGTCTTCACAAAAAACCCCACCAGCATCAACCTTGTAAGTGATATATTAAGGAAAAGTTCTTTTTAAAGAACCTATGACCCTGGTTGTCTAGGCTAACTGGTCTAATTTGGGCCTCTGTTCAATTATGTATTTTGGAGCGGATTTGGAGCATGTTCTGACCTGGCACATAGGTTCAATTTTCATGCAATACTGTTACATCTTGTTGCCACCCAGTGTGAAGAGGAGATACACCTACATCTCCCTGGTTGGTGTGGCAAATCAGCCTTGTTATATCTAGGTAAAATAGTAAAAAAGGAAAGCTTCACTGTCATTAATCGTCTTCTTGAATCAATCAGGATAAAATTTTATAGCTTCTGATAAATGAGCAGCAAAAAGACCTCGGAGCTGTGGTAAAATAGTTTCATGACAAGTATGTACATGAGGATATATGCAACATTCGGGACTTTGCTTTTTAAAAAGGCAAATAATAGGTGACTTGCAATATAAAAAGAAACTGGCCCTTATTTAATTAAACATACCAAATGCACACTATTTTATTATATTCATTCATACATAACTTGCATCTAATGAGCAGATGATTTTGAAGTCACAAGTTACACTAGGTCTTTAATCTATTAAATTGGGATGCTGCGCCAGCCACAACTTGAAGAACTGCTTGTAAATCCTTCTTTTCAGCACTGTCATAACTTTAAATAGTTGCTGAGTCAGCAGTTGGTGAGAACTATCTGTAATCATATTAATATTGGAGGAAATGCTGAATATGGTGAAATATGAGCAGGAAGACACTGCTCATTTTTCTGCTTTGGGGCTTCCTAAGACATTCAGATGGCAACAGTGGTGAAGAAATAAAATTGTTGAACCAAACATATTTAACAATCACTATTACATTGTTTGAAGACTCCTGCTTTTACAGTGGTTGAATGTTAAGCATGTTTCTTCCCGGAACAGTTTTTAAATTTCTTTAACCAGTGAATTATCTTAATTCTGTCTGCTTATCAGGTGCAAATGATGACAATTGTCTTGCTGATTTAATTCTGTGATTCTTATTTCAAAGTAAACGCACTGATGCATCTGTATAAAGAATTTCCATACTATTGGAAATTAAACAGAAGTAAGATCTATAAACTTAGTGTTAGGGCCTGTTTTAAGCTGCTGAATCCTGCAATATTAGTACTTGGGAGTTAATGCTCCTTCCTGGTGATTTCTCTCTTAGAGACTCCTGCGCCTCCCTGGTGGACCAACACTGACCTTCAGAGTCACTCAGGTACCAGAAGGATTATATTATCTACAATGGGATAAGCTGAGTAGATTTAAAACTGTCTCTCTAATTTGTCTTGGAAGGAGATGCTATGTTTATGATTTTAACTGCTTGTGGTTCCTATGGATAGTATACAGAATCACAGATTGTTCCTTAGTATGTTTGTTGTGTGCTTGGGTACAGAGTAGTTCTTATTCTTTTCTTCCTCCTCTCCTTCCTTTTGTAACAAAATAATTGAAATTTGAAAGTTTTGTGTATTCATATAGATTGACCTTGCATAATTTATTTTCTATAAGTTATTCTGGCCACTGCTGCACATTGTCATCTGGTTTCTAAGATTTCATGAAGAGGACCCCATATATTTTCAAACTACCACTTACTAGCATGAAGAATACAGACTAGGTTGTTTTAAATAAAAGCTGAGATCTGAGGCAGTCCTCAAAATAGTGACATTCCCTCTAAAAAGAATGTATGCCTCACTTGTTTGTGTTTGTTGTTTGCAACAGTATTCACTCATCAAAGATGTTGTGTCATCTCTGAAGCGACATCGGATGCATGAACAACAGTTTACCCATCCTCCTCTCCTAGTGCTGAACAACTTTGGCATTGAGGGCATGCACATCAAGGTCATGGCCACTATGTTCCAGAACATGTTTCCCTCCATCAATGTTCACAAAGTAAGTATATTCAAGCTTGGAGATTGGGAAGCTAATTAGATGATTAGTTTGCTGCTCAGACTCCTCTGGTCTGATTCCTGCCCTTGTGATAACTTTGCTGCCTAAAAATTGACATGGGGGATAGAACTAAATCTCATCCAGAAGGACCTCATCCCTCTAATAGGCATAGAGCAGTGATAGGTGAAACCTAATTTTGGCATAATTATTTAAGATACGGTTCAACTTCTTGGGGATAATTTTGATCCAGATGCAAGTGATGATAGCGTATCTTGGATGACAGTTCTCTGTGATTTCTTTCCAAAGTAAACGCACTGATGCATCATCCCTTTATCACC